CGTGAGGCCACCTTCCCTTTTGGACTACAAATTGCATTCATTTGGCCAGAATCTCTCAGTTTTTAGGGGAAAAATCGTGAAAATGGAGGATGGGAAAATCCAAATCCCTAAGTTGGGGACCTGAGAAGTTTGTTGACATACTTTAGTCTCGGCAATGAATGGCAATAATCGTAAGTTAAACTCGGCCCACTCATCCCAGTGGTTTCACTGTGAATTTTCGTAGGAAAAGCACTTAGAACGTTGAGTAATGATGCGACCGCAAAAATCACGCACGCCTATTGCCAAAACAAAAGTTTTTGTGTGTCGGTGAGGATTAAGGGTACGGATCCGGGGATCCGGGGGTCCTGATCCCCTTATATGTATGTATATATATATATGAATTCCTGATTCCGGACCCTCATGACACGTCAGCGGCAGCTCGTGCACCATTTGCAGGCATTTATATGTGTCAGCGTGTCATGGCCGTCATCAATCACATTTTGAGTTATTTGTCAGTCGAAGAAATACACTGGAAAAGATGTAATTAAACTTCCTTAATTTAAATATATTTTTAATTTTAAATCTTGATTTCATATATATAATATTAGATATAAATAATAAATACTATTTTTTTTATATTTTTTTAAAGATTTTTTTTAAATAGTTTTGCATAATATATAATTAGAAGTAAGTATTTCCTTATTTAAGAAATTTGACTTTCTTGAAATATTATTTTCACTCTTCTTCCGTTATTTTCAGTGGACGGGTGAGTGCTCGAATGTGTGTCTCGGGTGATTTTGGGCCTAAGAAGCTCCTGACATTTATGACTTGCCACTAAGAACCAGCGGCCCTCCATCTGTTATTCTGGCCTCCGGTCCTCCATTTGGACAAATTCGTGCTGCAGTTCCTTTTTCGGGACACTTTTGAATGCAGCGAGAGGTACGTACGATAATCATTTATCTTGCTTACGAAAACCGAACAAAAAAAAACTTAGGGAAAGCTGGAATAAATTGGGGACAGGGCGACTGCCTTCCTGGTTCGATTTAAAAAGAATCAAAATAATCAGAAGTGCTTTTGTTGGCAGCCGCTTTTTCTGAACACAATCTATTTTTAGACGAAAGAGTAAATTAAAAAATTATGCATAAATATTTTATTCTGGTTCTGGTTCGGTTTTTGTTTTTCTCTTTCTGAGGCAACTTCTGGTTTTCGGTATTGTTCAACGAACGGGGACAACCGCGAAAACAAACACGAGCACAACTAAGTAAATAAACAAAGAATTTTGTAAAAAAGTTTTAAATATATGCAGATGCACGCACGCCCTTGCTAAAAAAAAGGGTGTTTGGGGGCACTCTTTGCATATGAAAATGAGTTTTGTTTATTTTTATAATATAATTTCTACTGCTGGATGATGAATTTCTCCATCATTTTTTATGCTAACCGCATGGAGGCCGATAATAAATCGAATTAAAAGAAAAACATTGAGCCACTATCAAAACATATTACGAAGTCACATTTGACATTTTGATAGGCAGCGGTCACAATATAACATATTCACAGAAAAATAGGGTAACTGTATGATTTAGAAGTACCGACGACTTGATACCCTGTGATAAAGTCTATTATTATTATATAAAGAAAAGAAAGTCTTGTAATTATTACATCATTTTCTTTCCGGTCGAGACTGCAAAAAAAGTTATTGATAAATACCTATATATTTTTTATTCGATTTTTTTTTCTTTCATCATATTATATTTAAAATATTTATATAATTTTTTTAAATGAAGCCTTGACTTGTTTTTCGTCCAACGAATATTAGTTGAAAGCCAATACAAACATTTGATTACATATTAATTTAAGCATAAACACTTTTTATAATCTGCTTTGTAAATATTATTTTAGTAAGGAACTCAATTATTATCACGAGCTGGTATATATTTTTCCATGCTTGACTTACGGCGAGGGTTTTGTAGCTTTTTTGGGCACATAATTAGCCGAACTCATTTGCAAGTAATTAAGTTTGGGCGACAATTTGTCAACAAGTTTCCCAGTCGGGTCACATATAACTTTTCACTTTTCACAGCCAACAACTCATTAGAAAACCGTGGAAATGGAAATGGGGAAATTTGCCCGATGTTTTTTTCTTATCGTTTTTACTCGACCTTCACTTTCAGCCTCGTGCGCTCATCTAATTTCATTTCCGTGGCGCAATCAGCGGACGTAGTTATCCAGCATCCTGCAGTTTGTTTGTAGTGCGTCCTGCGCTAGGAAATTAAATTGCGAGCACTATCCGGGATCGGAGACGCCGGGGTTATTATTATTGTCAGTTCAGTTCTTTTGCCCCTCAATTTCCGTTAGGCGCAGCAATTTATAATTATGTGAATATGTGTCCATGTAGTATGCATGGGCAGAGAATCAAGCGATACACTGAGGGAAAAGTATGTAGTTTAAAAATAAAAAATGCAAGTTAATTAAAAATAAAAACGTAACTTATAGTACAAAATATATTAATTTAAATATTTTTAAATTAAATTAATCATTTTTGTATTAAAAGTTATGTTATGATATTTAATTTAAATATCTAATACAAAAACTTAAATTCAATATTCAGATTTTAGTGTTAATCATTCCTTTCTTTTTTTCAGTGTAACTCATTATTCTCTTGATATTATGGCATTACTTTGTTATTTATTGCTTTTTTTAATCCTTTCAATTGTGAAAAATACTCTTAAACCTTTTTTCTCCTACTGTAACACGTCCAAACATGCCGACGGTAGTTTTGTCCCTATTCTGCGCCTGTATCCTTCCTGTGTCCCTTTTTCCAGTGTCCCGATGTCCCGCGGCCATCATTTGGCGTATGTGAACAAATGTGACCCCGGGCCATCGACGACAAGGGAACGGGGTTATCCTGTTAACAGGAGTTCATGGCTTAGTCGCTGGAAAGCAAGCGAAGAGCCTTTTAATTGAGTTGCGGTGCCGCAGAGCGCGAATCGATATTTGCACTTAGTGCTGGAGGAATTTCGCGTTTTTGATAATGCAATTATGCATGCAGAATCTCATTTAAAAAATAGAGAAAATATTTTCTTTGGAGGGTAACCAAAGTTAAATCATACTGCGAAATCTTCTGTAAATTAATTATAATTGCATTTAATTCTTAGACTTTACAAAGAAGAATCGTCGTGTGCCCAATGCAAAATAGGCGTGTGACCGCAGCCATGCTTTGTGAATTTACAAAAGCAAATGTGAGTATAAACTGTATCGATTACAGTGTGATCTACTCTATTATCTTTTTCACCGGAAAGAAATTCTGTGCTTAAATGCACCTATCGATAGTGTTTGCAAGCGCGAAACTTGATTCCGCTATCAGAGCCACTTGACTTATATTTCTCTTCTCTGTAAGCGGCAAGAAAATACGCTCTAAAATCGTCAGCAGCCCCCCCTAGTTTCCCCGTGTTTCCCCTACCGATGCACAGCCTTCGTTAACCCTTTTTGCCCTCGTTTTCCACGCGACATTTTCCCCGGCTTACGTTAAGTGAAGCACGAGAAGTTCTGCTTTGTGCAGGCGGCGGCCACTCGAAAGGGGCGGGAAATCCGGAAAATGGTGACGGGGAAGGGAGGTCCCGCCTCTTAGCCCAGCTTAAGTACACGCGCGACGCCCACTTGGAACTTTGGCATGCACCACCTACAAACTGTTATTCTTGTCCTTTGCAAAATGCACTGAAAGTTCAGGTTAACGAAATAGTCTACACCCTTAAAAAATATTACAAGGTTTTAAAATATATAATAATGAAATTTCTCGATTTCAAGAAAGTTCCTTTGAAAAAAATCCTGTAGCCCACATCTTTACAAATTTCGTAAAAGTGTAAATCCATTCTTGTTGTGTTTATTAATACCTATCGAAATGTAGAAGAAAATTTTAAAATCGGACCATTCATTAAAAAGTTATGAAGAAATAATGGTGAATTAATGCAAGCAGTGCAAGCAGTCCCTTAAGTTTAGAAATTTAATTTATATTGAAACTCTTACGAATAAATTTGTTTTGTATTTATACACCACATTTTACGTTGAAAGGTATTTAAACTTTGGCATATAGTTGTATTGCTGCTGTCACCTGATTTTGCTGTGGGCCGTAAAAAGGACACAAGGAATCAAGTTATGGTAAAGGCCATCCACCTGCCAGCTGGTCAGGCTCCCACTTCCAGTATTCTGTTAGCATGCTGGCTCTTTCGACCCTGAGCTTTGAAAACTATACCCGCGTCCCTTTCTGCCCGAATGCAAATTTATTCATATACACGCTAAGTGCGAATAATAAAATTTAAAAACATTAGCACAACTAACTGAACGCCTAACTAAATTAAGGGGCTGGAAAATGTGTACTCAGTCCAGTTACGGGAAGTCAACGGGCGTAAAATTAAATAATGGTCACACACGCACACACGAGAAAATATCTACTTTCATTTCAATATTTAAATTGCAATTGTACTTGTAATAAATATTTTTGTGAACACCCAACAGAGTTCATTTAAACACAACTAATTATTTATTTAATTTATTTTTCCGCTGCAAATTACAAAAAGAAAAAAAAGGCCCAAGTGTTGCATTTCGAAAACAAATAAATTGGCCTTTGTAAATTCCACAGGCTGGAATACACAAATATATACTTTGAATTCCATTTAGTTCAAATATAAAATATTTTAAAATTGTGATGAAGAAAATCGACTGCTTGCACTGCTTGCATTCATTCACCATTATTTGCTCATAACTTTTTAATGAATGGTCCGATTCTAAAATTGCTTTCTCCATTTCGATGATTATTAATAAACACAACCAAATGGCATTTAGACTTTTACGAAATCTATTAAGATTAAGATTTCACACAAATGAAAAAAGCGATCATATTTAAGTTTTACTGAAATATTTATATTTTTGTGTCGTTCTAAGATAGGCAAGAAAAAAAAGTGTGTAAAAAATAAAGTAAGTTTAAGCACGGGGGTCAATGCCGGGATGCCAATCGCGGGGTCTTCTTAGTCCTTGATGATGATGGGCCTCGTGCGGCAGCGGCGGATGCCACCTCCGACGACATTGCCCTTACAGCTCCACTGGCTGGCCCTCACCCACTGATTGGTTTGGCGGACGCAGTTCCTCCTCTGGGCCTCGCAGCGGGTCTGCACGATGCAGGCGCCCTGCTGGTCCCTCCAGCAACTGGCCTGCTTGTCGTCATGACAGATCCTCCTCTGGCACTCCCTCACGCGCTTTCCATCGCTCTGGGGACGAGGACGCAGCCGGGTGGCACATTGTCCAACGCCACTCGAACCGGGAATGTTCCTGCAGCGGGTGATGCAGGTCTCACGAATGGGTTCCAATCCATTGTCACGACGGCGACAGTTCTTCTCCCTCAGACGACAGGCTGGCAGGCGGGTGCAGACATTCGTTTGCTTGTTCCGGATGCACACGCTCTTTCCGGAGGAGAGTCCTGTGCAGCGGCCAAGGCAAGGACGTCGCAGGTCACCGTCCGCCTGGATGGAGGCGATCGCCAGGACGACGAGGAGAAGGAGGCAAAGGCTAATCTTGGTCATGATTTTAGCTGGAGAACTCTGAAGGATCTTCTTAGGAGGATCTTTAGATCTTTGTTGCTATCAACTGTGGCTAGCTGATTGATTGATACTTTTTCGATAAGCAACCGGAGTATATATAGGAGTAATATGGAACATGTGCAATTTTCGGGGGGTTCATGTTTGCTACGCTGAAAACACCATATGTTCTCTTGTTTGCCCAAGGTTTTGTTTAAAAATGTGAAAGGGGAGCAGTGCTTTACATACGTTTTATTGCTTAATTTTCAATAACAATATCAATTAAGTAATCGAAAGTCTACATAGTCCCAATATCTTTATACTATAAACTTATTTTGTAAGTTTTAGTTTAGTAAACATCTCAAGTATCAAAATAATAATCCAAAGTCGAATTTTTAACTATTTTCCAAGTCTAGAATAGAAATTGGACTATAACCATACATTTTTCAATTAGAAATAAAGTATAAATTTTATTTATTATTATTATTATTAAAAAGGAATTAATTAATTTATTATAATTAATGCATTATTATTATAATTATTCAACTATGTATTTTGGGCTTTCATTAAATGTTTACGTATTTCTTACTTATTTATTTAAGTATCAAATTTAACTAATTCACAACTCCAGTGAAATGTTTTTCCAATAGTCTGCCTTAGCAGCTGCACTTATCTTGGTTAAATGGCTCTTAATAATAATATTAATAAATAAATTTTAAAACAAAAGCTGAAGCCACGCGTGTACGCGAAGAATCGTCTTCGGTTTTGCTTCCCAGTTGTATTGTTTCGTATTATTGTTTTAATGGTATAAAAGTGCAGACAGTTGGTTGAAATGTCATCAGAAGTTTCTCCAACTCCACCAGCTGAAGAACTAGAATAATTCAACAGGCAAAATGAGCAGCTATCAACTGACTTTGATTTTCGGTAAGTCTTACTACTTACTTTTTAAATATTTTTTAATTATTTAAATATTTTTCCTATCAGGCACCGTCTTTCTGTTTGCGTTGGCAAGTGGCACCACCCAACCGCCGAGCACCAGGCGACCGCCGAGCACCACCACCACCGGTCGTACGACGCCCAGGAGATGTCCGCTCTTCCCAGAGGTCTGCTCGAGGAACAGTCCCAAGGTCTGCGGAAGGACTCCGCGGGGAGAGTGCCAGCGATTCGAGAACATCTGTCATCTGATGCTGGCCAATGTGCTCCGCTCGCCGGAGGGAGTGAGGCACACCCGCGACCTTGACTGTCGCAATGTGAAGGGTGAGGGCCCAGCCAACCGAAGACCCTGCTACAATCCCTGCCCCCCACGACCCGTCGTCTGCCCGAGGACGCCGAATCCCAGTCAGCATATCTGCGTGAGGAGCCGCAACAACCGGCAGTGCAAGGTGCTGGCCAACAATTGCCAGTTGCGCAACCAGAACTGCCACAGTCAGCCCAAGAACAGTGAGTAGTTGCAAGGAGGAGATACTGTTTGAAGTGTTTAAATCTAAAAATAAAAAAAAACCCTTTTCAGACTGGCTCCGCACCGATAAGAGGCGCTGCGGCCAGCTGCAATTAGGCGACAAGCCGCAGAATTGCATCAGGGTGCCAGTTAGACCAAGACCCAGGACCACACGCCGTCCCACACGCACCACGCGCACTCCACGAACCACCACACCGCGCTCAACATCCACCTCCACCACGGCCAGGTCGGTCTGAGGTGTCTCGGTGTCTCCACCTGTGAATGTGTAGCCAAATAGCCACATCCAAATTTTTTTTTCTAAATAAATAAAACATTAACTGCAAGTCATATCTACCAAGAGCTTTCCTTTTGCACGGGCTTGGGCTGGGCTTGTAATAATTATTAAATGTTTAAATATAGGCCAAGTAAATATTAATGACCGTTGTCATTGCTAAAAAAATGTTCTTGTTCTTGGAAACAAGGATTGTAAAAAAAGAAAAGAAGAAACAAAATAACAACATTCTGTTTTTTTTTGCCATTTTTAAACGGCATTACTATTATTTTGACCGCAGCTGTATGTCTCTTACCATTTTTTGTTTGCTTAAACTTCTTTTTAATTGCAGTTTAAATATTGCAAAGAAAAAATATTTTTTTTTAAACTTTGGGCTGATTTTTTCAGAAACCTAAATAAATAAAGAAAAGATCGATTTCATCTATCTATTTATACCTATTTATTAAATAAATAAATAAAAAATATAAAGGTTCGATTTTGTAACACAGTGTTATTTATTCAAAGTCCTTTGGTTGGGAAAATCCCGCTAATGACCACTCTTATTTCTCAGTTTCCTTCCCAATCTTTTGTCATCGCCCAGACAACGTAGACACTGGAAGGAGGAGAAGTTGACCAAGAAAGTCCAAGTCCAAGTAATAACAACTCAAAGTACAATTGCTGAGAGTTTCATGTTATTTCGTATGAAATTCCTTGTTTGTTGCCTAGCTTTTTGTTCAGAGTACTAATTAATTGATAGAGGCCTGGACAAATTGACTAAAATTGCATATTCAAGTTGCTGCTGCTGGCTACGTTTCAGTTTCACTTTCTATTTCGAACAAAAAGTTTGTTGAATTACACACACATTAAGCATACGCAGTGGTGGCCCGAGTTAAGCAAAACAACAACTACTTAAACTTGTCGCGAACTTCTCTCGCCCAACTTTTCCTTGTCTTTAATTAAAATGCCTCAAAGTCCCTAATCAAACAGAATTCAAATCAAACGAATCTAGTTTGCAGTGGTTATGTTTTTTTTCTTCTTTGTTTTTGTTCCGGCTTCGATTACAATAGATCCCTGTTTCTGATTAATGAAAAGTCATTGTGGTTTGCAGTGACGAGAAATGCTGGGGATATTGCTGCACTTGAAATAATAATTAAGTTTTAGGAGTTAGAATGTTATATTATAGGTATACAAAATATAAAAAAGATTTTTTTTAAATTATTAAAATAGTATAAATACTGCAAAATATAAAAAAAAACAGAGTTATCTAAATATCTTGAAGAAGGAGGCCATTTTTCATTTTAATATCGAAAATATTCAAAATAGTTAACATTTTGTGTGGTTTTGTTATTTTCTTTTCACTGCACACCGTTTAGTTTATAAACCACTTGAATTTAATTTATTTTCCTGCCAATTGTTTTTACCAAAGTCGTCGTGTTTTTTCCATCACATTTGTTTCATATCCCTTACTCTACGCCCACATTCTGGTTTCGTTTCTTGTTTTCCTTTGCCATTTCCCATTTGATTTCATTTTGTGGCGTCGAACTTTATGACAATCATCTACATCTGTTGAACATTGGCCGACGGCAAAACCGTTTGTCATTTCGATTCAACTTAATAAATGCGAATGAATGCCGAATGTTAAGTCAACGTCCCTCCTCGTCTCAGCCACGCCCACATACTTGTAGCTAATTTGGACACAGGCGAGGTTATTAGAGCTAATTGCGTTGATTCATAAATTAGAAACACCTTTGATTGCGGGTTCGTGACTATATCCACTATGTCCACTACTATATCCACCCCATATACACTCATATATAGTGGGAAGCTAATGACTGACCGCATGGTCGGATGTCAAAAATATTTGGAGGCATTCACCCTCGAATTTATGCACTGAAATAAATATTTTAAAATATATAATATAAATAATAAAGTTAGAAAGCATGCCTGCGGTCACACGCCTATCTTGCATTGGGCACACGTCAATTCTTCCTTGAGTTGCTGTCCGCACTATAGTTCTAAAACTTAATTAATACTAAATGTTTTCTTCTGGTGCACTCGTGAATAGAGTTCTTTATTTATGAACCCCTGAAAGTGCGGTGCATAATTTGCCACTTGACCTGCCATACGTGAACTTCTCAGAGGAGCACTATATACCATACTTTTGGGTGGAATGTGCAGAGTCATTGGTTGACACCCCGAACCGAATAGTCGATAGTCATGGCCGGACTATTTAAGGATGATAAATGACCCGCAGCTATCGGACAATGATTGCGATTACACCTGCCCTCATAAAAAGACCAGTTTGCATTTGCAAGAAGGAACATTTAATTTTGTATTAAACAGAAATGTTTGACCATTTATATTAATTAATCAGCTGCCACAACTCATTTTGTGGTATACTAAGAAATTTTTAAAATAACAAAATAAATAAACCATGAAACCGATGGTTTATATTGTCCGCAATCAAACTTAATTCCCGAAATGTCCATAAACCGCTGAAAAATGACAACTGCAGCCATAAATTGAAGAACTTAGTTCCAATTAATTCGCGTGGCTTGTGGGGTTATTCAAATTGCTGAATAAGGCGGTGAGTTCCGGAAAATTAAAGCATTGAAGTGTAAATCGAGCGACAGACCTTGGAAAATGCGATTTGCTCCGAATTTGCGGTCAATTATTATTTCCTGAATATCTAAACGCAATTAGTAGCATTTTCCGGAAGTGTCAGAAACTACACAAACGAAGAAAACAAAATTGTTCGGAATACTTTTTGAAAGCCTTTTTAAAAATGTCGTCAGGTCTAACGGGAAAAGAACTGCATAAATTTCTAAGAGCTAACATCGAACCCACCCATTTCGGTGATATTTATAAAAGGTTTAGAACTCTCGGTCAAAGCGGAGACGAAAGAAGGAAAATCCGTTTAAAATTGTGGATCCTTTTAAAAGCTGGTCTGCGTTTGGGACACCTCCAACATTTCAATGGACACTTTTTCACCGCTAACCATGTAGACGATGTTGCGAATCTTCTGGACGATTTGGATAGTCCCAGTCTGCAGACTGTAAGATTTTACAACGATTTAAATGCAGACAGCCAGTGGAAAATAAAAGTTCGGGTCGAATCGGAGACGGAAAACTAGGAGTCCCAGGCTGGTTTAAATATAACAGCGATTAAGGATTTGGTTCCCACATCTGAGAAGAGATTCGAGAATTTTGTAAATTTCAAATTGATTGTACCTAACCTTGGAACCTTGAGATGAAGTTATGTAAGCAATAAATCGACTGCTTGCACTGCTTGCAATAATGGAATGCATTTGTTTATAACTTTTTTTAAGAATGGCCCAATTTTAAAATTTTCTTCTACATTTTGATAGGTATTAATAATCACAACCAAAGTGCATTTACACATTTTGGTACTTTTTCACCATCATTATTCTACATTCATTTAGTTAGGTAAACGGTGTATTTATGCCAGCTTTATTTTTGCGGAACTCAATAGTTTAGACAAATGATTTACATCCACAGGATATGCACAGTCTCTCACAAAACTAATCAACGGATTACGGCTGCTTTTTGCGGGCGTGCATAAATTATATTGAAAATTAATTAGCATTGGCTGAAGGGCTTAATTGCCTTTGATTATACGCATCCATCGATACTTGGGCATTACAGCGAGCTTACGCACATACGAGCTTATCGAGGAGAGATATATGGGATGGGGTTAAGGGGATATGGCTCAGATACAGATACAGATACAGGGCGGATATGTGAAGAAGGCATAATGGAGGGGACTTAGACAGACAGACATAAGCCACACGCAGCATTAAATCGGCATTAGGTCAGGCCTTCTGGACCTTGTATGTTTTTGCCCAAAATTGGATTGAACTAAACTTGTTTTTCCTTTTCTCTCTGTTTCGCTCGCCATCACCAGACACATCGAGTAGTAGTCTTCTACTGAGGAGAGGATGATGGGGCACGGACTGGGGCACAACATGCCACATTGTCGCTTTAACTTTTATTTATTTTCTTAGACGCATTTTGAAAAGCCAATAAGCAGCTTTCTGATTGATTATCTGCTGCCCGCTCATTGTCTCTGTGTTGATTTTACACACTCACGTACAGTGGGTCCTTGCTATAATGTTCTTATTATACGTTTGGAGATGGATAACAGTAATGAAAATAATGTGAAAACAATTTTTTTTAATCTCCAATTAAATTTGTAAATAGAGGGTAGTTCTAGACATCCTCACAAACTTACCTACTGATTTTACTCCACAACACTTTAGAACTAGTTGGGAATTATAAGTACCCACTAAGGGTATCATGTTTATAATAAACATAATCGATGTCTTGCCCAATTTTAAATTTCATAAATATTAAATTTACATTAGTTTAAGATTAATTTAACATTATTAGCATTCAAAGTTAAAAAATAAAGAAAAATCCAATTATATTGGTTGTATCGCTTAACCGTGGACTACTGTGTCTATATGCCTTTCTGAGACTGGGTCGTCGTCGTGTGTGATGTGATGTTGTGTGTTGAAGGCGTCAATCAATTTTGAGTAAAATAAATGAGGCTTGTGCGGCATTTTGCGTGGCCAACACTTTAGGGCCCCAAAAAGGCTTAAAATTGTAAATTCCTCCCAGACACACAAAGTACCCACCCGTTCCGCCTGTTATAAATAGCTGCTATCTCATCTGAAAACTTGAGTAGGGACACAGGTTCTTTAATTCAGCTTTTAGATTCCTCTGTCCTACGACGACCGTCCACAGTCTTTCGAAGAAATGGACAGCAAATTCCGAAAGTCTCATGACTTTGATAAAAAAAACGTTTAAACATAAAAACAAATAAAATATAAATGAAAAAGTGTCGCCACCCTATTTGCTGTGATCCTCATCGCACTTGACCCACACAGAATAAAATTTGATATGAAATAGGTTTAATTCTGTGATTTATGTCAAATTTAATACGATATTTTAGTATTTTTTAATAAATAATGTTAAATAAGATAAACATAATCTTTATTCAAATCAAAATAATATGAATATTTTTATCTTTATCTGATCTTTTGTTAATTTTTTTTTCGTGCACTTTTGTGTTTCCATAAAAGTTTATATGCAAAGAGTGTTTCTGCGATAAACATTTCCAAATCATATAAAATACAAATAAATATTTAAAACTATGAATTCTTTAATTATTAAATATTTGCTAGGTATTTCATTTCGGTGTGTTTTACTTACCTAATAAGAATGAATGAGTGTGTCTGAATCGGTACTTTTTTCCGGGGATTCCACAATCGTCTGATGAGCATATTGCCTTCGATGCGCGGAGATAACCCCTGAACTACTTTCAAGTGAGCTGTATTTAGTGTATTTAGTTTAGTGTAACGCCTCCAGTCATGCATTTCGAACTGCATCGATCGTTGGCCATTTTCCTCGGCTTTTTTTTAAATAAAAGTTTGGTAAAGTCAGATCCGCAGCAGTTAGATCCCTGTACAAATTTCTATAAAGCCGCCTGCGGCAACTGGTCGACAATTCATGCCGGCGATCCGTATCAAAACTATCTGGATCAGTTGGACTACAATTATCACGAGAAGCTTGCTGCGTTGCTGGAAATTGAGTAAGTAAATTATTTAAATCATTTTATAAAATAAATAATAATTGAATAAAAATAAAATCCAGAAAAAAAGACGAGGATGAACCTGGATTTCAGCAGCTGCTCAGAGACTATTACACCTCCTGTCGGCAACCCTTGACCAAGGATATGGCTCTGAGGACCCTCGAAAGGCTGATATATATACCCATTCTCGGCTATGAGGAGCTGATTGTGGGCCTGATTGCCGCCTTTCGTTATCAGCCTCTGGTGGAAATCAAGAGCTCTTCCGATATGTTCCTTTTTTGGATGCTGCTAATAACCCGCGAAGACGAATGGAATGCCAACGAGACGAATAGGGAGCTTATGAGTCGCCAGGATTTCGATCTTCTGTGGGAGGACATGCCAAAAATGAGACATATTCAGTTGAATAAGGAATCGATTTGGACCGAAGTGAGTGGCCTGGAAAGGCAAATGCAAAGTTATTGGGATACGAATGATAAGAACGATGTCCAGGCTCCCCCAACGTTTTGGATGCTGCCCTGGCCGCAAGAACCCTACTACGCTTCTGTCATATATCTGGCTAATTTGCTGGCCCACACTTCTCACCGCGTATTGCTTATCTACATTTATCTGAGATTGAAGATGATCCAGGGACCGAGGACTACTGACTCCTCCTGGCTCATAATGCAACGCGTGGAGTGTGCCGAGCAGTGCAGACAGTTTCTCACCCATCCGGCCGTCTGGTTGATCGAAAGGAATCACCCCAGACTGAAGGAGGAATCTGTGCTGCAGGGAATTTTCAATGAACTCAAGCAGCGCTTTGGACAGAAACTTCGAGCGAATAGAAATAATTTCTCACGGCAAACACAGCAGTTTTTACTCTCTAAGCTGGAACGAATGACACTCCGTTTGAGTGTGCTGCCGCGAAAGTGTTCAAATGAGACTTTAGAGCGACGCATCAATCGGCACTACCGAGATGTTCGTCTAAATTCCTCGGATTATTTTGGCAATCTCTGGACGGGCTTGAAACACTCGAGTGTGCAGAAGAGGCGCGTGAATAGATTGTTATTGGTAACCCATCTTCCCTCGAAACACAGTTTGCTCCCCGTTATAGCGCATCAGTTTGGCACCTATGCCTCGCCCTTCTATATAGTCAATCACAATATGCTTATCGTACCTTTGTCCCTCCTAGGACCTCCACTCTATATACCCGATCAGAAGCAAATACTCACGTATAGTTCTCTTGGATTCATCCTGGGTCACGAGCTAACCCATGGTTTCGATCCGGAGGCGGTGATCTTCAACTCGCGTGGAACGATCAGCTCTACGATGAGTAGGCAACTCAAGAGGAATCCGAGATTCCAGCAGGAGTTGAGCTGCCTGAATCAAAAGTTCGGCGGCAACAAAAGAGACGAGAAGTTCGCCGACTTGAATGGCCTGGAATTGGCCTATTCAGCGTATTTTGACACCGCCCAAACAGATGGGCAAAGGGATCGCAATGGCAGTGGATCGATCGCCCAAAGGCAGCAGTTCTTTCTCAACTTTGCCCAGTTCTTCTGCTCCTCATCGGATCTTGGGGAGGACAGCAGGGAGCATGGCAGCGATAGACAAAGGGTCAATGACGCGGTTCTCAATTTCGAGCCTTTCCTAGAGGCTTTCGGCTGTCCCTCGTCGCATAATCCAAAAAAACAATGTCGCTTGTTTTAATGTCATTTCATTAAATTAAATAAATAAATATTACTACTTCACTGTTAGAGAAAGAAGTATGTCCCAAGATTTTATATTTAAATTAAATAATTCATAAGTTAATCATTTTCATTGTGAAAATATGAAATTTAATAATTTTAAACTTTGATTTTAATATGGATTTTTGATTTGTAAACTATCTAATATTTTCCACCTTCATTCAAATGTTTTCAAATTTAATCATGCCATTTAATATTTTTTATATACTAAGTTTCTTTATTTAATTTAAATATGAAATACAAAAATATTCCAAATAAAATACACAAGTATTTATCCACAAATAAAAGTAACATTTTTTTTGGTTCTCAATTAATCTGGAAGTCCCCGAAATATACTTACTGAAGTTTAATCGCAATAATCTAAAATGTAGTCCAAAGCAAAACGCAATCTGGTGACATTTAATTAATATATTTATAGATTATTGGATGCACCGTCGTCATATATGTATGTACAAAATCATAATCATAATCGTTATCGTAATCGTAATCAGATGAAGCAGAAACCGAAGCTGTCGTCACCAAAAATACATATATAAATATTTAACACATCCCATTCAGACAGACAACTTTCAGATATAGTTAGGCTACACAGTTTACAGAGTTGTGTTTGCTGAGTTAGTGCAGTTATTGGGTTTAGTTATAGTTGGCTCATTCACTTGTACACTTAAATTACGCTTAAATTTAGAAACTACACTGTAACTGTAAATCAGTTGTACACATATCAACATTATTTTGTTCTTTACACTAGAAAAAAAATATTACAACATCAAATTGAAATTCGTTACGACTGATTTCTTATATGCTATGTTCATTTCATTTAAATCGGTAAACTCTGGGGCTCAAAAGGTTTACGAATTTAAACGAGTTTCCAACCCTAAAACCTAGCTACTCTTAAGAACTTTGATTAGGTTACAAAAATATTTTACAAATGCTCAGAAATAATAATTTTTACCTTAGTAACGAACATTAATTATCATCATTGCTAATTATTTGAATTCAATCATTCGGTTTTGTTTTATGTATTCCGGTAGTTGTAACTCTTTAGTTTCCTGTAAGTATTTTTCTTATATCTAGTATTATGTCATAGTATTATTTTATTGTTGTGAATTTTCGCGTTCCCCCCCACTTTATTTTGTCAGCTATCACTTCCTTAAAGACTTATTATATTCTGCAGAACGCCTTACGTTTACTATGAATATGAGACAACAACGCACATTAAAAAACACACAGATTTCAAGTGGACCAACTTGTGTCTTATTGGGGAACTAGAACAGACATTTAGTATTCGGTATATGGGTATTATGCAGGCAATTTAGCAATTAATCAAATCTCACTTTTCACTAAAAGATCTCTTTTTATTGAAAAGTGAAAATCGCTTAATGGCAAGAGATTAAACATTTCCTTATCTGGATTATAATCTTTCTCTGATGTTGGTATATTTTTAGTATTTTTATCTGAAAATGTCCTGTGTATTTTTAGCTCCTGAAACCTTACTCTTACTCAGCTCTATTTTTGAATGTATGGGGGGCTAATGGTGTTTCTTACGTTTTTTTTTTTCTTTGATTTATGCTACCCTTTGCAATTGCAATGAAATTAAGACTGTAGACTGTTAACCGAAACTTATGAAACATTTCAAATATGGGAGCCGATAATTGGGGTTTCTGATACGTGCACCCAATCACTTTCGAACTTCCGAATCAATAAGAGCTTGCAAATTATCGATATATTTGAATCGATATTTTAAATTATCATAAACTGTTTGAAAAATATCGATAAATATCAAAATATTGATATTTTTTCAAGCTCTACAATCTAGACATTCCGCTCCTCGCTGATGATGTCCATGGTGCTGACCCTTCTCTGCTGATGGGTCGGCTGTGGATGCGTCTGCAGGTGATGCGTCGTTACCAGATGCTGGTGCTGCTGCGTGGGCTCCCCACCACCACCGATAATTGTGGTTGTGGTGGTGGTTCTAGTAGTGCTGGCACCTCTACGGTGGTCGCTGCTGCCCCGCCGCGGCACCAACATCACCAATTACTAGAGGACCGTCTCGTTGGTGCAGGTGCGTGCTCCATTGACGATCGAGTACTTGGTGGAGGTGTCCTTCTTGGTCATTAGCCTGCCCAAGAATATCTCCTTGAAGGTCTCCCTAAACTGACGCGACATCCCACAGTAAATACCGAAATTAATCGGATAGCTGAAGACCAGAAAGAAGTTCGTGAGCATGATGCAGATGTTGGCAAGGCCGTAGTCCAAGAACTCGATGATCAGCGAGCTGACGATATGCATTACGGTGACGACGGCAATGGGAATTTCGGCCAGGAGGAAGACCGAAACCACCACGATTAGCATCAGAGTGGTGCAGTTGGTCTCCCTTAGCTTCTTGCACTCCTTCTTCCGATTCTCGCGGAACAGAAGCTTTCGTCGCTCCTGCGCCTGCCGCATCGCTGCGAAGAGCAGGATGTTTAGCGTCACTAGGATGATGCAGGGCAGAAGGTGGACGAACAGCACCCGAAACAGATAGTAGCTGGTATAGTACAGATTCACGCCGATATACTCGTGCACCCACATCGCCGTCTCCAAGTGGCACACCTGAGTCATGCTCCCATTCCACTCGATTTCCAGGGGCATGTAGGTGCGATCGAAGAAACGGGGCAACTGATGGAGGATGGCCAGCAGGGCTATGTAGGCCGTGCACCGTCGCACACGCGGCATCGTGCACCACGTGCGGGCCATGGGGGCGTGGCACACGTAGATGTATCTGGGGAGCAGGGATAAAAGAAAGATTAAAATAGTAGTATTTTTTATTGGTATTTTTTTTAAGTAATTGTACAAATTTTTCGGTTTTGTGTGATGTTTTTTGGCGGAAAGCTAGGAATATTTTTTGTTATTTGTAGTATTTTTTAAATATATATAAATTAGGAAAAATAGGAATTTTCTTTGGATGCACTTTCTGGTATATAAAAGAAAGTTTTTTTTTTGCCTTAACCTACAAAAAAAATTGTCGATTTACGTTTTATTTATAAAATTTTTCAAGTAGGAATTGGAACAACCAATTGGAGTACACCACTTATAGCTGCTATTAAACAGTAATGGACTTTATCTGATGCGGTTTATTTCCCGGCCTGTCAGGCAGGTGTGTGCTTTTTATTTATTTTTATCTAAAGAAGCCTTGCTGTCAAGGCATTAAGATCAGCTAACGAGAGCGGGCGTCTTAAACGCATTTGCCTAATATAATTTTATGGCAACGTCGACGGAAGATAAACCAATTTCCCCAGGTGCGAATTTACGAAGGCAATGTAGTGACAACGAATTGGCCAAATCCTAATTTGAGTCACCTCCTCCGCCGACGACCCCGTGAAAAAGCAAAAGCAAAATCAAAAGACATCTGAAAAGCTAATCAAGTTGGCGCTTTGTAATTTCATAATTTGAGTAATTTGTCAGAGGGGTGGGGTTGTCCTGTCCTGCCAAAGAATGAATTCGCTTCCTGTGAAGAATGAAAGCCACCCACTCCATAAATAATTTTGCAATCCGAAAATCGAACAGACTTTGATGCTGGCGACTTGATGGTTGGGGTTGGGTGGGGACGCCACCATCCTTCAGATGGTGTTGGTCTAATTTATGCGCATAATTATGGCCACTCGAAAATGGTTTTCAATCAATCTTTCATTGAACCTTTGTCAAGCGGGGATTTCATTAAATTTCGCAGCAAGGTTTCCCTCACTAACATAAGCGCAGAACTCCAAGGGCGTTTAGTCCTAAATGGAATTGATATTAATACATAAATAAAATGTATTCTCTTCCCCTTTTTTTTTATGTAATTTTAACCATTTAGTTACTTTGTCCTAAGACAGAATGACCCTTTAAATAAGGAAAAAACCTTGTGAAAACAACCCTCAAATAAAATTAACAGCCACAATAAATCAATCAAGTAGAACATGTCTGAAACAGGCCTCAACGAGATATTATGTTTGGGAATTTGCCACCGATAGACATGTTACGCAAAACAAAAAGATTTTAAATAAAATAACAAGACAAGGCAAATTCCGTTCATCCTTTTTTTTCTTTTGGGGATTACCCCATGAGTGGCAGTCCTGATTTTTATCCTAATACCTTATACCCTTGCCAAAATCTCTGAATTTTAAAGCTTTCTTTGAAAAACTTTATGATTTGCCTGTTTGATATTTGTTTTTTATTTATTATTACTATTTTAGCCACATTTTAATGTGCAAAATCAAAGTTAAAATAATTATTTAAAGGAACTTTCAGCTCACAATTTATTACTAATTTCACTATTTTATTAGTGATTTTGACCTATAAACTGTTTTGTGTGCAGTTCCACTCTCATCTATCCGCTCAAGCTCCTTTCAAAAGAATGCCAATGGGCCTCGTACTTTATATGGGCAAAACAAAAAAAATAGCGGCAACCTACATACAGCATACATTTTTGCTATATGAAATTTTTATGAAGAGTGTCACTCACTCACTCAGTTCGCACTTTCCCACATTACCCCGTCCATTAGCAAGGGCCATAAAAACACTTGAAATACAATAAGTTGACAACAGGCGCAGCAGCAACAGCAACAACAACAACAATAATAGCAATAAACGCTGAATGCTGAATGTTTTTATCGTGCTATTTCTCCTCGGGCAATTTTCAACGCATTTTAGAGAGACTCTTCTACCGGTTCCTCTTCCTCTTCAGCCTCCTCCTTCATCTTTTTTCCATATATATAAATATTATTTAGCTATTTGGTGGTGCATAAACCAACCACCAGTCCACAACCGCGGCTTTGACTACTTGAAAACGACCCAAAGTCGTACAATGGCCCAAATATTTATGACTATTTTTTTGTCGGTCCTCTTCAGCAACCACTCCACTTTGCAAATTTATTTGCAAAACTGTAAAATTTATGGATCCCACACATGAGAGTTAATAGAACAAAACGCCATCCTCATAATTTTGTGGACTCTTGAAATATTCCATGAATCTAGGGTGAAATTTATTGTTCAAGTTTCGGTTTAAAGACCAGTGCAATGTGGTTAGAGAAGGGAATCGATTGATTGTCACTCGCATTACTCATACGCAACGCTGACTTCGCCAAGGTAAGGCAATTTGTTTGCTTTTTTTCGCCCTCAAGGCTTTGACATTTTACTTTTACCCACACAAAAACTGATTTATGGCAGCCATTGACAAGTCAACGAGAGTCAGTCATCCACTGTTTCAGTTACATCTCAACTGGGTAGACAGACCTGCTAAGGGCGGTGGTCTCACTTTTATTGCCCTAATTGCACACTTACCTTTGCACGGCGAGGGCCAGAGTTAGCCAAACGGAGATGGTGTGGCACATCGCTGGCATAATCTGTAAGCAAAAATATGGGAATGTAAGTAGGAGTTTGCAGTGCGGATTAGTATCGCTGTTAAAGTTTTCTGGCTTGTAGCATATTTTTGGGAGGCGAAAAGTTAATAGAGGCCGATTTCTCAATGTCCGGTTAGGTTCGTAGTCTCCTGTCTGTCAGCAAAAGTTAACTTGAGGTTAAATTAAGGTTTAAAAGTAAGGTTAGGGCTATTGTCTGTTGTTAAATAAAGCTAAAAAACATTTTCTCGATGTCAGGTTAGGTTTGTTGTCTGCTGTCTGCCGGCAAAAGTTAACTGGAGGTTAAAGTAAGCTAAAAAACTATTTTGTTTTCCCAATGACCGGTTAGGCTAAGTTAAAAAACAATAAATTTCTTGAATAATTTATTCATTTGATTTAATCCCAACTCTACAAGTTAGAGACCTGTGTTTACTGCTGCAGTCACATCGATTAACAATTTAAATTTCCATATTAAGAGCCACATACCAATGGGAATTGGGACAAGACAAGAACACGTATAGAACACGATATGTGAGTAAATCACCATTTGGCCCAAAGTCATTCCTTAGCCTGTCTGCGAAATCGGATTTGTGGCACTCAACTGCATTAGCCAGCGGTAAGCAGTAAGAAGTAAGAAGTCTGGAATGCGACATCTGAAATTCTGGTAACTGGCAAATGGCAAACGGCAAAATGGCCTCCACCTGTACAGGTGTCTGCTCCATTTATGGTCCATTATGAGTGTGGCTCTGCGGCAGACAGGCGCTCCATGAGCTCTCGCTTCTGTTGGTCTGACATCGGACTTAGCCATATAATGCACAATCTGTGGCCTAATCCGGTTTATGTGTCTGACTGGGCTGCAATTACACTGACATGGCCAGATAAACTCGCCTGGATATTTTACAATGAAACGGTTGCCCTCCCTCTGCCTCCTTTTTACATTAACATGGTCATTATGCGCACCATTCGGTGGCAGTAGAAGGGGAATGGGGAGGAACGTGCTGCCGGAGCACAAACATTCTGGGGAAATGAAACGGAATCTTCAACTTTGACGCTGCAATGGCCGCCTGGTGGTTATTACCGAAATGAGGAGTGCCGCCGCCTCGCAGGATGTGAGTTGAATTTTATGGCAGTCATACGCAGAGATAGTCTCGCTTTGCCTTTGCCTTTGCCCTCCCTGCCAAGCAGCCCAGTCAATCTCTTCAGCAATCCTTGCTTCCTCCCCGTCCCTTGGAATCCATCTAGACATCCAGCACAGCATGGAATTTAGCTGGTACAAATCCCCGGAGAGTCCACTAACAGCACGTAGCTACAATGAGCCAGCACAGTGGGGCAAAGGTCGTTAAAAAATATTTTTGTTTAAAGTGCGTAAGTGGGAATTATTCTATCGAAATTTCGATATTAGCGCCTTAAAAAATTGCAGCTTATACTTGCTACTTTTTCGATATTTTTTGTTAAAACTTAAAATTGTTAAAAATTTTATAACGATTTCATTTTATTATTTTATCGATATTTCGATTTTATTGTATCGATATTTCGATTTTAGTGTTACTTTTGCGATATCTCAAGTAGTAATTATTTTGTTTAAACTTTAATTTTGCAATAACTAAAAAAAAAATAAAATTTCTTTAAAAAAAAATTGTTGAAATTTGATTAATTGATTTCATTTTTAAAAAGTGCCTAAGATGTTGAGTTTTCGTCCATTACATAGGAGAAAACATAATTTAACATTTGCATATTGGTACAACCTTCTAAGAGTAAAACCTCTGAGAACTATTTTGCCTATCTTATATTAAAATGCTAAACCAATTCTTTTAAATGAACCACTATGCCTTCTGGCTTTGTTAGGGACTGGGGGCTTATGCTTATAACCAAGGAGTAGGGGGTGGGCATTTTATCAGCTTGACACTACTCCATTGAAGTGAGTAAACAGTTTTGCTTTGCCAACCCCTAAAGCACCGATCCCCTGAACCCCATTCCGCCGCGCCCTTCGAGTGCCATAAATTGAAAATGTTGATTAATCAAGGCAAACGTGCAAAGGCAAAGGGCAGCAGGAAAAGCAAGGAAAGCTTGGAGTTTGCATGGTATTGGTGGAAAAACGCTCTCTCGAATGAATAAGTGTTGTGAATGGCTGAATGAATGGGTGGATGTGGATGTGAATGTGAATGTTGATGGGTGGGAATGGGGATTCCCCCGGCTCGAGGGGCAGCAGGTGGCAAATGGCAAGTGGCACTAGCAGCGTTTTTCATTTTTTCATTATGCTGACAGAAATGACACACACAAAAGGGAGAATCACGGCAGGCAGGGGAAATGTAACGTGGCAGCAAATGCGATAACGATAACGATAACGCGACGGGATCCAAAACAAAGCGTCGTTCATCAGCGAGAGACAATGGAGTAAGAGTGGCAATGAGTCCGGGAAAGGGAAGGGAACAGAACAGAACAGAAGACAAAATGTTCCAGCCGAGCATTTTATTTAGGTCAATGAGCGTCGTCGCATCTTCCCCGAAAATGGTGGAGGCATGGAAATCGAGGGGTATAAACGTTGCCAGAAGCCAACGCAAACAGTTTCTTGCTTTTCCCGCAAGTTTGACCAGCCTTGGCAATTAGTTTGTGGCAAGAAAATACATGGGAGAAGAAGATACACTGGCAAAGGCATACTGAACATGTTGAATTGGACATATGGCGCCCAACGTGGGGCTTCACCAATAAATGAGATAATTGCATATCTCTTACCTTTAAACCGTTGAAAAAATCATTTCTTTCTATTGTATAAATTTTAAAAACATAACCAGTTTAAAAACGCCTTAAAAATAAATTCAGAAAACCTTACAAATTTCTCAAAGTGCAAAATCTGGTGGCCGGTAGATATTTTACGTCTTTGTTGACTTACCTCATTGAAAATGCTGTAGGCCAGACACATGGATACCGGATGCAGGGGCTTATAATGATTGCCGAATGTGTACATATACCAGAGGCCCGGTGCCGGAAATATAACAGTCAGCATATCGCATATAGCCATTCCTAGGGGGCGAGAACGAGAGGGGGAAAGTGGAAATTATAAATTGGAAATTATGGTAATGCTTATGCAAAGCAATTGATGATTTTTAATGTAAATTGATTGTGCGATTGGACAGAAATTCGGATGTGAGCATGGAAATGTTGATGGCCCGTCTGTCTGTACCAATTTTTGGTCGCATTTGTAATCTGATTTTAGAGCTTATAATCGATTCGCTGATCAATTATTCACGCTTTCCTAAGCCAAACAGGGTAAATTGGGTGTGTTGATTCTGTCAAAGTTCAGGTTTCATTTGTGAACAAACAATTGACAACTCCAAATAACAAATTGTGTTGTCGGATTTTCAATTAATTAATATGAGCGATTTATTTAAATAAGCGATTTATTTACCTATCGAAAACACTACGTATACTAGTGAATAAGTAATAATTCAATTTGGTAAGGAAATAAATAAATAACTGATCCTACTGATGATATGTATTACACTTGCAACTTGCAAAATAAATCAAATAATCAATCTCAGTGACATTTGAACCGAGCGAATGCTCTTAACTGACTGACTCATCGGAATGACAGACTTCTGTGGCTATCCTGCACCCTTGCCTAGTTACAGAGAGAACAAATGATCAATTTGATGACTTGCCAGTCGTCATTTGGAATGTAGAATATCGAATTGATACTTGAGTTTTTAAACAAATAGATTTAAGTTAAATAATTGTAGGCAGAAAAGGTTTTATCCATAATATTATGAAATTACTGCTTACATAATATGTAAAATTAAAAATAATATTATTTTGATCTCAGTTTCAGTTACAGAATTAACTCAAATTGTGACACTTATTGCGCAAATTTTGCTACAGTGCTGTATCCACACTTTGCTTGTGTATTTGAAGTCATTTCTGTTGTGGTTGCTGCCGTTGCTGCAGGGCCTGAGTTCATTTCACGTTTGGTCCGCTGTCATGTGAACCGAATGCGATTAGCCTTGGCCTGCTCCTGACACCCGGGGGGTGGTGGGCGGTCCAGAATGGTCCAGGCGGCGGTCAAAGGGTGACCAACCCCAACTCATCGACAGCAACGGCGCACAAGAGGAATACTTTAAAATTTTAATATGTACTGAACTGTACTAACCCGAAGATTTTCCACAGATTGATATACTTAGATTACATCATAATATATAAATTATTTTTAGTTTCTAAGTATTTTCTAGATTTTTACTTTTAATTTTGTGTTCATCCAAACCAATAATCTTAATTTCCTCGGCTTTTGCTTGGAATCTTTTTTATAATCTTTCAAGAAAAGTTATGCAGCCAGTTTGGTCTTTCCCATCGACAGACTTCGAAACCATTAGCATTACACACGCTATTAGAATATCTCAGCATTACGCGATGTATCCTTTGGGACGGGGTAAGAGGGTGTTTTTTTTAAGGAGCACGCACATTGTCAGCTTTTTGAAATCTCACAAAAGTTCTGCCTGATTTAACATTGGGGCACATTAAGCGCCAAAAGGGCGACATGGAATTACAAGAAAGGCAGCTAACTTTGGCAAGCCGAACTTTATATACCCTGGCGGCTAAATTTTATTTCATTTATGTAAATAAAAAGTTGTATTATTAAAGTTATAAAGCTTATCTATCTAGTTAGTGAAGAAACGGACAGACGAACAAACGGACAACAAAACGGACAAGTAAACGGACATGGTTATATAGTGATACTGATCGATAATATATTTACTTTATAGGGTCGAAAATTTCCCCTTCACTGCGTTTCAAACTTCTAACTGAAATTACAATACCCTCTGCAAGACTACAAGGCTACAATAAATAATAATCATTGAAGGCGGCGGCGTCTGAATGGGGAAAATCGAAATGGGCCCAATGAGTGGTGTGCGGCGCGGGGTTTTAACTTTAAATTATTTAACAAAATTGCTATAGATGTTTACATAAAAGCGAGAATATAAAAGACCATTTTCAGAGGTTCGTTCATACCAATAAAAATTTTAACTAATAGATATCTGTTTCATTCCAGTGAACAGCTCATTATACTCTACTCACCCATCAGTACAAAGTTGGTGGGCGTGGCCATGCTCTTTTTGCTCAGGACGAGGACGATCAGGGAGTTCGAGATGATGGTGGTGATCAGCAGGAAGGGCATGAAGTAGCCGTAGAGCGGAATGGCGTAGTCCAAAGGGGAATCGCAGGTGAGGTTCCAGTAGCTGATATTGTTGTCCTCCGTGCGACAAGGACCGTCCATTTGCTGAAAGTTGGCGTAGTCCAGACTGGCGTTACCGTAGTCGGGAAGCTCCAACTGCTGGGAGTCGTTCACCGGCAGGTGGCGCTGTTGCCCCACCAGTTCCATTTCCATTTCGGGGATGGCCGATGGGGCGAGACGGTACTGGTACAGTACGTCCGTGTAATTGTTCTCCATTGCGAGTGATATATTCCTATGGAAATCGCCTGCCTATTCCATAATTATCCCCATTTTTGAGGACTAATATGGTGTTAATGTTTGGTTATCCGAGTTGTGTACATAAATGAAATTATCTGCGAATGAAAAGAAAATTATCTTTAAATATGAAGAAAATTATCTTTAAATTCTTAATTAAATTACATTTAAAATTATAGATTCTACTCGAATTCCGCGCTAAGCGATTTATATATCACCCCTTGCGAGACTGAAGCTCCACTGACTGCTGATCTACAGAAAACGCAGCCCTTTAAAACACGTTCTCACTCAAAAAGGTAGATAATGCAGAAAGATAATCAGCTAAATTATGAGAGAGACTCGAAAAAGCACTGGCTCATAAAAGCATGAAATGCAAAGTACTTCTAATGTTTAAGCAAATCAAACACATTTGCATTCACTTATCTTATTTGTTCGTGTGCTGCAAACCAAGTACTACTAGTGGTTGTATTTACTTTTGATTACTTTGTAGTCATCTCGAGTTTAGACTTTGTGTAAGTAAGACTCCGCTATAAAAATTAGCTATAATCAAAATCAAACAAATACACACCACATCACGAGGCTAAAAAAGCGTGATAAAAAATTTAAATATTTAAATAATTTTTAAATATTTTAAATGCTTCACATTTCCTGAGCCAATTGATTTCCCTACAGTATTTATACAGATTGGGTGAGCTTCGTCACTACGCACGTTTTCTTGCTATCAAAAAATGAAAAATGCCTCTGCGTTGGAAATATTACCAACAAAAAGGGCAAACTTGATCAAAGATTTAAAGGTAAACGGCATGCCAAAATGTTTGTTTGCCAGCCGTCATGAATATTTAAATCGGCTTTGATTCTTTTATAAGCGGTCTAAAAGCGTTCCTTGTTTGACTTGTGCTGCCGCCTGGGGATATGCAATGGTATTTTTATTTTGATTGGCTGTTGTATCATTGAAAAATCCATTTATTTAATAAAAAGGGGTTAAAGATAAGGTACAGGTATTTAAAGCGCTACAGATAAGGCTTTAAAAATCGTAGTAACTTTTCTAATCACTAAAATCATGTTTAAAGTAATTGAAATCATTTTTTAAATAGCCTGCAAACTTTTTCTACTTTATTTATGATCACGGAAGCTAGTAAACTCATAACAGAGCATTCCGCATGCTTATGTCATGTTTATACTGTTTTTTAATGGTTTTATTTTTCGCATTGTCAATCCAAGAACTTTCTTAATATTTTCGACTTGCCGTTTGCTATTTTCCACTTCTTCTTTTTCGTTATGGCTACATTGACCCACATAATCGCAAGACGGAGAAGAATGGGCTCGAGGTCAGGGGTCAGGAATTGTCGCCCAAGAAGAATATTGAATGTGGAGGATAGACAACCGAAAAACTCATTTGTTCAGAATGTTCTACATGCCTAATGCGATTTAAGTGGGCCATTTAAAGATGGAAAGCAAAAGGAAAACAGACGGCAGTGGAAAAAGGGGAAAGTTAAAGAGAATTTCTTCCATAATACAGAATAAAAATAGTTTATTTGCATATTTATTTCCCACATCAGCTTAAAAATAAACCATTGAATGAATTAAACAACACAATTGTGGTAATTAAATTCCATTAAATGCGATATTAATCATTAAAGTAAACATTTCTGAGCAAAACAACCTAATAAGGATTTACAAATTTAATTTATATACCGTGGCTTCATCTGCAATTTATTTATTTTAGATTAAACTGTAATAAATCAATAATGCGAACACAATTGTGTGGATTATTAAATTAGTTCCGGCTATTTTAACGCGGATTGCTGGGCATTAAAAAATATCGGGAAAATGCGGAAGAGCGGAAAACAGCCAAACAGAATAATCAACTTCCCATTGATTGTGTTGGCTGCCAATCAGCGAAAAATCAAATGTCGTGGGAGCATGCAAAATGCAATCAAGACCAAGTTGAAAACGAAACGGAAATAGCGGGAAAATCCCGCGGAAAATCCCAAGGAAAATCCATCAGTTACAGCCGCGCGAAACCGCAGTGGAAATAGCTCAAATCCCGGGCCATCTCCACTCGTTAACCCACTGGCACGCAGAGTCATTTTAATTAGCCCTTGAAAAGCTCCGCCCACTCCAAGTCGAAGAAAAATCCCGGCGGGAAATTCCAATCCACTCCTTAGTCACTTTCTATTTTTTTCTCGCAGCTTTAGTTTTCTGCACGGAGAAAAATGGCTAAAGATTACATTACATTTTTTTATTTTAAAACTGCTTGCACTGCTTGCATTTTATTATTTATTATTTGCTTATAACTTTTAAACACATGGTCCGATTTTAAATTTTTCTTCTACATTTTGATAGGTATTAGAAAACCCAACCAAATGGCCTTTACACCTTTACAAAATCTATACATGTGCCAACAGTGGAGTGAGTCCCAAATAAAAGTCACAGAAGTTTGCAAATGGTCGCCGTTTAATTAACTTAGGTGTTGCATATCGATTTCCTGTTGGCTCTCACTAATTAAGCTCTCGCCTTGGCTTTCCGTTTAAAACACACTCTGATCTATTTTCCATCTTGTTTACACCCAGCCACCCACTTTTCCGGCCGCCTTTTCACATAGGCATTAGCCGCCATCTTTCATCCATTACAACACAACGTGAGCGAGAAGAGGCTAGAAGACGAATATGAAAAACTTTAACTAGGACATCGCAGATGCGAATCTTAGTCACAAACAACACGTGCACACTTTAGAGTGCACTGAGAGAAAATAGCAGAGCACAAGGTAAGAAAACTATTTGTTATTTGAAATAAATTAACAATAATTGATATTAAACATATTCATAATTTTCACCACACCCAATTATTTTTTAGTACCATTTAAACAAGCTTTACTTTTAACTATTTTTACATCGATTTTCTCCGTGTACTCACGTAGTCTCAGATGCATGGTCTCTCACTTATGCATAGTCAAGTCATCATCATAAAGCGATTAGTGGAACTAAAACTGTCATTAAAATGCCTAGGCCACCTCCTTTGCCTCTCCTTCTTATTTTACTTTCCTTTCCTCTTTTTCGTCATGAAAGAGTATTTCACCAAATGAATTTCCAATACCTAGTGTAGTTTTCCGGCCACAAAGAATTAAATAGTGTCAGTTGAAAGCAAAAATTGGAATGCAAGCAGTGCAAGCAGTCGATTTACTACTTGCATAACTTCTTCTTCCTCACCACTTTTCAGCTTAGTAAAGGGTATCTGATAGTCGATAGTTTTCATGAATTAATCAAGTTTTAGAAACAAAGTTTTAGGGATTAGTTCTCTTTTATAATGTGTTCGAATTGCGAGGTCAAAGGAAGCACTGCATTGATGTTTGTGTCATTTGCGCACCATGTTCCACAGCCTAGTTACGCCCACTTTTCCTGTGCACCGCCCTCCTTTACAAGACTCTGGCTCTTTACGGGGCCAACAGCAATGGCACCGAAAAAAATCGATCAAAAAGTACGATGTCGTCGGAAAATCGGCACGGTAGAGGAGTATGGAGGTTCGTTCGCTTTTGGTAGATTAACTTAATTGTACTTTTTAGCTTGGCAAAAAAAAAAAACAAAAGTACCCCCCAAAGGCCTAAATGACTGAAAAGTGGGGGCGTTAGAAAATTGGGCATGGTCGCTGCCCCAGGGCAAGATGAATGAACGAATGGAAAAAAAAAATGGGAGAACGGGGGCGCTTGTGCAGTTCGTTGAATGCCTCAAGTAATTTCCCATTTAGACGACTCTTTTGGCATTTTTGTCTCTTGCCCCCCGTCTCTTATTTTATAATGTTGTTTTTCTTGGCCTATTCCTTTCTTCGCATGTATTTAATTTTTTGTCCCATTTTGAAATGCAAAGAATAAATTTTAAAGACAGTAGTTGAATAGAAAAAATGCATATAAATAAATAAAAATTAAAAAAATAGTGACGATCGCACCTCAACAAAGAGAAGCTCTCAAATCAACTTTAATACATAAGTATATATTTTGTACCATGGTGGATCTATGATTTAATTCTGGGGGGTGTTTTTTTTTTAGAAAAAATATTGTTGTTGCATACTTTTTGAATACCAAATTTTCCTTAATATTTCAATGGAATTAATATTTGTCTTTAAAAAAAGACTCTTTGTTGTTTTTCACTGAAAATTAAATTTTATTTTACGTTTACCACCAACTTGTGGACATAATCAATTGTAATCGTTTAGGGATAAGAACTTCTGCTTTCCTTAAATTTCCCTACTCTCTCAGCTTTCTTCGGGCAAACAAAATGAGATAAAGCACCGGCATTAGGCTGAGCTGAGCGGCAAAAAAGAAACTTCTCAGACATGTTGAATTAGTATTTCACATACGTTTTCCTCTTGTCCGTCGTCCGTCGCACTTTCCACCGATTGTCCGATGGCTTTCACGGCAGCAAACGCTTAAAGCGTTTAGAGTTTTCCCGCCTAATCGCCAAAGCGAAACTTTTTCGATTTGGGAATTAAAATAAAAAGGCATCCAGCAATAATAGCTGGATGGTAGCCCCTGGCTAAGGAGGATTTTCTCCTGTCCGCCTCCTTCAAAATTTCGAAAACTTTTCCCGGCCACACTGCACGTATCGCTGGGGCTTTCCCGCTACTTTCGACTTTAATGGGGAAAAGCCATAACGTATCCCCTTCCGCCGCCTAGATAAGTGATAAACCGCCGCACACACAAATTGGCAGCACCTTGCGTGTCTTGGGCACATAAAAAGGATTAGACGTCTGCCTTCCCACCCAAAACACAAAGAGAAAATCTCAATCTGAATAGGGAATTCCGCTTTATTGTGAAAAGAGGAGCTTGGCGGGCGAAGGATCCATATCCGCACACTTTACAGCAACATTTCCCATTTTCCCGCCGCGAAAAGCTTCTTAGCTTCCCTGAGAGAATGCGAAATATTTGGGAGACTAACCAGCATTAACTGATTTATTTCTCAGAGGCACTTTAAAGGTTTTAAAACCCGGTATGGCAACCATTTTCTGTATGAAAAGAATGTCTACGGACTAGTATTTTTTGTAGTATTTTTTCATTAAGCCAAACCAAATCGAAATATTTGAGAGACCAACCGGCACCAACTGATTTATTTTTCAGAGGCAACCTCTAAAAAACTTAATATGGCGATTTCTTTTATGAAAAGGAGGTCTGCGGACTAGTAATTTTTTTTAATATATTTTCTAGTATATTTATAAAATTTTTGTAATATTAAACCAAGTTTTTCTCCTACAAAATAGTATCCAATTGCGTGATATATTTA